CATTTTGACTGCTTTTGGGCAATATAGGTGTATACTAAGTTTCAGTCTTTCTAGTTAAAAACCGTGGCTCATTTTGTATTTTGAGGAAATTGTTGTTCTGAATCACTTCTCTTGGGCTCTAATACTTTTTCTGGGACACCCTTTATGGAAGAAATAGCTGGAAGGGCGAAGATCTGAGCCCTGCCGGTGCTCTACTCACTTTTGATCGGTGCTAACAGTTCCTGAAGTGTAATGTGCGCGTGTCCCACGATGCGGTGTGGTAGTAGAGTGGCTGCTGCGGCTGCGGCTGACGAGGACGAGACCGTTGCTGGGAACCGCGCGACTTTCCGGCTAGGGGCCGACACCTGGGCGTCGATTCGGAACGCGTCGTCCCGTCGTCGAACCGATTTGACGACGCCGTTACGTACGATCGGACGGATAAGTGCTTATCGTGCAGCACGTCGACTGCCGATCTACCGATGCTCTTCGTTACTCGCTTCTTCTCGTCGATCGCCGTGACGCTGACGCCTCTGATACTTTCGTTACCGATTTCACTACCACTACTTCTTCCGCCCTTTACGCTAATACTGCTGCTGCTGCTGCTGCTGCTGCTGTTTCTATCGCTGTTGTTGCTGAATCTCCTGCGGGTGCTATCTCGTTCCGACGAAATGGCGACGAGAAATGACGAACGCGCTGCGGCAGTGCGTGCTATGTCGGGGACCGTCCAACGCGAACCAAGATTTTTCATGTCCGACCTGCGATTCGAACGTCCATCGAAACGATCTCGAAAGTATTTCAAGGTCGCACGAGCCTTCAAATCCCAAACGTATTTTTTTTTGAAAAGTCACACACAATTTTTAACGTATAATTTCTATGCAAATTTGTTTGCATTGTCCATAATTCTTTGGCTGATTTTTTCCCGTCTGTTTTAAATAATATCCTCGAAAATTTCGAACGGTTTTTGATTGTTTTTAAGAGCTCGTACGACCTCGACTAATCCCCCGATTCCTCGTCGCCTGCATCGGGACGGACGTGTACTTACGTGTGAATGAAGCGACGGGTGCGATCAATCCGTTATTCGAAATAACATAGTCTGGTCTTCGAGTCGATCGATGCTTATCTGGAACAAAGGGAGAGCCCAGATTAAAAAAAAAGTAATTATCTGTGACAAACTGTGAATAAATATTATAAATCCAGGTCGGGCTGCCGAAGCATGTAACAAATATTTCATATTAACGCCGATCGATATTAACCGACATCTGATATCATCTTAAATTTAACATTACGTTTATTTTTAGTTCCAGTTGAATCAGTTAATCCCGTCATCTTCGTACAGTATTATTCATTTCCTCTTCTTTCTTTTCATGTTCAGATTTCTAACATCTGTTCTCACTGTCTTACGTTGTCTCCCTTCGTACATTCTAAAGGGTTTATCCTCGTTAACAAAATAATAATAATAGTAATAAAGACAATTATCCATCTTTCGTTAAAAGGACAGAAAATAAAGGAATAATAATAATAATAATAATAATAAAGACAATTATCCATCTTTCGTTAAGAGGAAAATAAAGGAATAATAAATATAAGTATAACAAATTAAATAATAATACAAATACAGTGAATATTCTTTTGAACCAGAATAGATATTCGATGTTTTTGAAATGTGAACGGAAAACAGAGATCATAAGCCACAAAGGTAGTTACGGTTTTTCGGGCGGAATATTTCTGAGCGCTGGAGGTTTCGCGAAAAAGGACGCGGCGTGTTCACGCATATTCACGACGACAGAAATTTACACGGGGCGTGTACGTGTACAACGCATACACGTACACAGAGGGAGAGACGTCGGGAGTGGAGGAAAGGGTGTCGGTGGTCTTTGACCAAGTTTCGCGCGGTCGATCATATTCCGGCGGAACTCGGTCACGCGCTTATGCATCGGTGTCGTCGTCGCGGCGCCGCGGCGCCGAGACCCAACGGACACCGGGGCAGGAGTGGCCTACACGCCGGACTACCACGAAAAGTAAGAGTGAACGGGTTGATCGCCGGTGGAAGAACAGGTCTACGCAGGATCAGATCGTCCGACCCAGTTCGGATCGAGTTAACCCCGCGGATCGATCTCTCGATCGAAGGATAATTAGACTGCGGACTTTATGCGCTTACAGCAAAATCAGGCACTTACCAAGCGTAAAATAAAGAGAGAAGTGATGAAACTGTCAACAGAAAAATGTATGAAGTTTGAAACATCAAAGGACGTCGTTTCTCAAAACACAAATGTTTAATCAGACAAGAAATATTTTCGACGATTCTACGTTTCATAATTCCAGTTATTTTATTCGTATTATACAGAATTTCTTGCGAAGAGTTATTTGGGCGAAAATAATGTTTGAACTCGTTGGTAACACGCGTCGATTATGATGTCGGACAGAACGGGAGACACGCGTAATAAATATTACGCGAGGGGACGTGTAGATAATTCGGCGATTCGGAATGCGATGGAGTTCAATTTAATTGTCTATTGCAGCTTTTATCCTGCGGATATATGGCCACAATAAAAACGGCACTCTGCCAACACGCAGGCCGGATGGAAACGGGGTCAGGTACGTCTACGGTAAATCAGCCTTCATCGAGGAATCAACAAAAGCATTCGACGTTACAAGAGCTCCCCTGTTAAAGAGACTAAACACTCGGACATACTCTTTTTTTTTGTATACGCGCACAATATAAACTTGCGAGTATACTTGAAATTCGTAAGAATACCAAATATTTATGTTGCCTCGGGTCGTTAGACAAAATTGCAGAATCTCAATCCGTGGATTTTTCAATGACTGTGAAAATGATTTTTAATATTGCCTTCCGATTGATAGAAACAATCGCAGAATTTCAATGCATCGATTTGCCAATGACTGTGGAAATGATTTTTAGTATTGCCTTCCGATGGATAGAAAAAAATTGCAAAATTTTAATCCAATGATTTGTCAATGACTGTAAAAGTGATTTGCCATCCGATCGATAGAAAAAATTGCAGAATTTCAATGACTGTGGAAATGATTTTTAGTATCGCCTTCCGATGGATAGAAAAAAATTGCAAAATTTTAATCCAATGATTTGTCAATGACTGTAAAAGTGACTTGCCATCCGATCGATAGAAAAAATTGCAGAATCTCAATTCATCGATTTGTCAATGACTGTAGAAATGATTTGCTTTCCGACAAATAGAAAAAATTGCAGAATCTGAATGCATCGATTTGCCAATGACTGTGGAAGTAATTTTTAATATCGCCTTCCAATGGATAGAAACAATCGCAGAATTTCAATGCATCAATTTTTCAATGACTGTGGAAATGATTTTTAGTATCGCCTTCCGATGTATAGAAAAAAAGTGCAGAATCTCAATGCATCGATTTTTCAATGACTGTGGAAGTAATTTTTAATATCGCCTTCCAATGGATAAAAGCAATCGCAGAATTTCAATGCATCAATTTTTCAATGACTGTGGATTTTTAGTATCGCCTTCCGATGGATAGAAAAAAATTGCAGAATTTTAATTCAATAAGTTGTCAATGACTGTAGAAGTGATTTGCCTTCCGATCAATAGAAAAAATTGCAAAATCTGAATGCATCGATTTGCCAATGACTGTTGCAGTAATTTTTAATACTGCCTCCCGATCGATAGAAACAATTGCATAATTTTGATTCGTCAATAATTCCTTCGAATAAATAACATTAAACATGTATAAACGGTAAATAGTATAATTTCATAAATCGATAAATAGCCCCGATGGAACATAGCGAACGGCAGGATCTACTTCGATGTTGGCACGAGCGTACGTAGAATCGAGCTGGTTGCGGTCTCGAAAAATCAATTCGAAAATTGCGGTACACGTGCCGCGATGCATATTCCGTTCCCGACGAGCCTATTAAATGTATCGCGATTGAAACAACGTCGAGACCCTCGCGGATCAACCCTAGTTTCCCTCGATTCAAGAATATACAATTCCATATGGCGTTCGTATTTTACGGTTACGCGATTATGTCTGTTCGACGAACGAGGGGATCGATCCGCCAGCCCATTGAGTACTTTAACCAACAGTGGACGAACCAAAATTTCATTGATATCGACGTGGGAGCGGGTCATGGATTCGAACAAAACTCCGCACGGAAGTCTCCTGGTTTGTAAAAGTTTCACGATCATGCGAGAACGTATCGTGAGCGTGTCGGGGTCGGTCGGAATCGCTTGGCTGCCATCTTGGCAGAGAGTCGAGGGCGCAAAAGCGCCACCGAAGAGGAACGCCGATGGAACACCGTTTTCTTCGCGTTTTGTGGTGTGGCACGGGCAGCGGCGAACCAACACGGAGACCGATGCCGGTGCCGTCGTTCGCGTGACGTCACGAACCAGGCCGGGTACGTTGCGGAAAAACGTTGTCATGACGACGAGCGCCGACGCTACCGTCGTCGCCGCCGCACCGTCGTCGTTATACCACAGCCAACCCCCTCCGCGTACGTCCGCCAATGCCAAGGGTCGGAAACGGCAAAAACGGAGAGATCCGTTTTTCCGCCTTAAACCCGTTTTAATACTCATCCCATGGGAACCTAACGGTCCACGTATTTTCGTCGTAAATACTGTTTTATGAACAAACAAACTGAGAACCATTTACACTGGACCGTCGGAACGACGAGCAAAGAGCTAAACCGAGGGCTCGTGAAACGGTCCGATGTTATATCGGTGTCCATCGGAACGGAAGCTCGAGTAACTGGACGATCCGGTGAAACGGAAATCGCGGTGTGTATGTAGGTCATCTGGTATGGATTGAAAACGATACCCCCCCCCCCCCTGGGAGGATCCAAAGAAATTGCTAATTTATTGCTTCGGGGAGATTATCATTTCCGCGATGGGTTTAACGCTTGCAAAACCTGACAAAGCAGCCAGTCTGATCGATCCGTAATTTCTCTTGGGAACCTCGTCACGCGTTTTCGAAGATTACGCAGGATTGATCTGTACTCGTGGAACGAGACTCGCGTATCGTGGAACAGGAAAATTAAATGTTAATCTAACATGGACGTGCATCGGATTCAATCGAACGTGTATTAATCAGTTAAGTGTGTTTGACGACTATATCCGTCATGGAACAATGGCAGAATTTTGTGTTATGACGGCTATATCCGTGAATAAATTCATTCATTTTCTAAAATAAAGTCGTCTTTTTGATCCAATATTTCAACAGCGCCACTTACTCTGTGTTTGACGACTATATCCGTCATCGCTTGATTATCGCGACACACACTGGGGCGCACTTTGCAAAATGATCGACACAGTTAACTGGTTAAACGNGTTTAACGCTTGCAAAACCTGACAAAGCAGCCAGTCTGATCGATCCGTAATTTCTCTTGGGAACCTCGTCACGCGTTTTCGAAGATTACGCAGGATTGATCTGTACTCGTGGAACGAGACTCGCGTATCGTGGAACAGGAAAATTAAATGTTAATCTAACATGGACGTGCATCGGATTCAATCGAACGTGTATTAATCAGTTAAGTGTGTTTGACGACTATATCCGTCATGGAACAATGGCAGAATTTTGTGTTATCACGGCTATATCCGTGAATAAATTCATTCATTTTCTAAAATAAAGTCGTCTTTTTGATCCAATATTTCAACAGCGCCACTTACTCTGTGTTTGACGACTATATCCGTCATCGCTTGATTATCGCGACACACACTGGGGCGCACTTTGCAAAATGATCGACACAGTTAACTGGTTAAACGTTGAATTTCATCAGGTCTTTGTATGAATTATTTTAATTGAACGCACGAGCGTTTGGGAGAAACTCTACTTTTGTTGTGAAAGAGTTAGAAGTAGTCGACCGAAAGTACGGCTGCAGTAGTACAAAATTACTCTGCGCCGCCAGTCGAGGATGACGTAGTAACGATAACTACACACATAACTGTTGGGTGCGCCTGGCTGGTTCAGCGTGACATCCCCGAGAGATCTTTATCGCGATAGTCAGAGACTAGAATCGATAATAATCAACGCGTAATAAATATTTATCTTAGCACGAAATTAACAGCTTCCTGGAACTTCGTTAAGACTTACGTTTCAGATTCGTATAAAATAAAATGCAGA